GAGATTAATTAGTTTCAGCTCAGGAAGTTGTGCATATGAATTTCCCTCCCTAAGAAATCTCTCAATTCTGGAGTGCACTAAACTCAAGGCATTCATACTTAGGCCACCTACACCAAGTGTGGAGATGACGAATGAGGGAGCTGCTGGTTTTGATGAAGGTCCCTATTCTTTATTTGACAAGAAGGTTTTCCTCTTTTCTCTATCTTGGCATTATCACTGCTCATGTGATTTGGTTTCTTCTTTATGATGCTCTAGATTCATAAGCAACTTTGCTTTCATGCCATTTATTGTGACTTTAGCCAGGTGATGCTTCTGTAGGTCATATTTCCCACATTAGAAGAGCTACGTCTAACGGGAATTCAGTCAAGAGAATTTTGGGAGAATGAGATGCCCTATGAGTCCACTTGCCGCCTAAAGTTCCTCGAGGTGAAGCAGTGTCACAACCTATTGAATATTATACCTTCATTCATGGGGAAGAGGCTGCTTCAATGTATGGAGTGCTTGACAGTGGAGTCGTGCAATTTGATAGAATGCATATATGCACTTGAGGGCCTCAGGGTCATGGATAGAGAAGCTGCAAGAAGCAGTCCGTTGAGAGAGCTATCTCTATGTGATCTCCCAAATTTGACATACATATGGAAAAATGAGGATTTGCTAAATCTTTGCTTTAACAACCTGACTTCTGTAAGAGTTGAGAAGTGCCCGAATCTGGGAAACCTTTTTACAATGTCTATGGCAAAAAGTCTTGGACAACTCCAATATCTTGTTCTAGGTGGTTGTGGAGAGATGGAGTACATTGTTGCCAGAGAAGAGGAGAAACTTGAAGAAGCAGCCGGCGTAATTGTAATTCCTCAACTTGTCACTCTATATCTCCACAACATGCCAAAACTCATAAGTTTGTGCCATGGGAAGCATATTTCAGATTGGCCCTCCTTGAAAGAGTTTACGGTTGAAGATTGTAAACTGTGGAGGTGATATTAGGAGATGCCAGTTGTATAAAACAAGAGGACAACGTTTCAACGTAGCAACCGCCTTTGCTGGTCAAAAAGGTTTGCACTCATTCTTTGTTAATGGCATATCTAGTTTCTTGTCCCTGATTTTTTTAGCCAGACAATGAGAGGTTCTGTGGGGTGGCTTCTACTAACTTATCAATCTTTTCTTTTACAAATCTTTGACTTTCATTTAGTAAGAAACATCTTAAAGCTACTTCTTAATATAAACATATTGATACTTACCTCACAACTTTTTCATTAGTTTCCAAAACTTAATATTTTTTTTCTTTCATTTTCAAATTTTAGACTAATGTAACTGAAGTACAAATATTACTGAAAGGCTAAGCTGCAATTAACATCTTTTAAGTAGTCCAGAGTCTAGACATGCTAAAGAGGTTGGCTCAAATTTATATTCTATTCAATGCAAGATCAAGTGATGATGATACCATGAGTTTTAAAACTGGTGTTGGTTCGACAATATATATGCATTTAAGTTGTAATATTTGCACGCTTTATGCATTTCGGGACTTGTTAAGTCTATCTGTTTTTGGTAGACGGAAAATCTGCATTTTGTATTATGTTTTCAGTCCTATGTGGCTCTTAACGCGGTGATGGAGCTTCTTCGAGCGCAAAATGGCATTGTTTCACTATTGCCACAACAGTAAAATTGAAAATAAAATAAAAAAGGACTAAAAATTAGAAAAATCTAATAACACTAATTAAAAATAAATAATATAAGTCTTACGGGAGATGCAGGCCAAAGGAGAGAGGGGCTGCATAACTACTCCCCTTCCCGCCGACGAGGGCCGACAACCCTTGCTAGGGTCACGATGAGCGCAACTGGCACTCACCAGGGTCACGACAAGGGCAGTCGACCCTCGCAAGGCCACCGACAAAGACTGTGGCCCTTGCCATGTGCAAGCGATGGCCTGCTATTGCCCTTGCCAAATTTGGGTGAGGGCAAGCGCACTCACTCACGTGGTAGGGAGGAGGCGAGGGTTGCAACTGCTGGGGGCCGGGCGATGGCCAGCGGTTTGGCCCCAAGACCTCTCTCTCTCTCCTGGTTTTATGTTTGTACTATTTAAATTTTTGTTACTTTTTTCTGATGTGGCAACATCAAATCAGCCGCATTAAATTTATTGAATATTGTACCATAGATTAGGCATCGTAGATGTACTGCTGTCATGGATAATGGACGTCTTGGCGATCACTTTGGTCAGTATCCTTCTAGCGAGGACGCACTATGGCACGAAACATATCAGAAGTAGCACTCCTCGACCCTGTCTCTGGCAAATGGGAAGTCCCTCGTTGAAATGATAGCAAGTCTGAAGTAACTAGATGTTCTAAGAACACCAAATCACCATAGATTGATTCGTGCAATTTCAATTTATACTGAACTAAAAATCATTTGTTGCGTGACGAGGAGTGTTAAACTCTTTAAATCATCGGTCCAAAGTACGTTCGATAATTCTACCAATGATGTGTTTGCCTTAAATAGGATTCGTTGGTAGACTGCAGGTGGTGGAAGTATCTAGATGTAGAAAGGAAGTTCCCATTTGCTAGAGAGAGTGCTGTGGCCAGCATTGTTTCCGTTGTGAACGACATTTATAATGCCAATGGAAAAAATAGAACTCTTCACATAAGCAATTGAAAGGTAAGAGTTCGCACTCGGATGCATTTCTTAGTTTACCAATTCTAAACATACTAATTCTAATTCGATCAACTGTCAGTAAGAGTCAAAGTGTGATATTTTTTGGAACTTGAATTCAGGTGTGATGTCGATGCCAAAGATGGACTGCCCGAGTACATGCAAGAGCGTTACTAGACACTTCTTGATTTGTATGATGAAATTGGCTATGAAGTGACCAGAAAAGACGATAACACCACACCTCTTCTATGCAAAAGAAGTGGTAAGCCATTTGACATCACATCAATCAAATGCAAATTTTTCTTTGTCCACTTGCAATTGAATAAAGTGTTTTTGGATAAGAATGAGAGACTGTCATATATCGAAGTCCACCAAATGCACTCGATATCTTTCGCTCGGAAACATCACCAAGAGAAGACCTAAGTTTGAGCCTGTTAATATATCCAGTTGGACCCACATTCACTCAAAAGCTTAAGGCAATGAGTTATGGGTCAACTATGATATATTAACTATACCACACCAATTCCCCAATATGGGATTTCTTTAACTCAACTCACATGTGCATCCTAACAAATCTCCTTCTCATGTGTGAGCTCCCCCTTAATTCAGATAATATATTTTTTTCAATTTGTGTGGAGTGCGTAATAGAAGCCCGATACCTTTCAGCCGGGGAGATCACCAAAAGGGAGCCCAAGTTTGAGTCTGTTAACATATCAAATTGGATCCACCTTCACTTAAAAGCTTAAACCAATGAGTTATGGGCCAACTTTGATATAGTAACTACTCTACACCACACAAATTTCTCGATGTGGGATTTCTCTAACACAACTCACATGTGCATCCTAATAAAAATGAATTATAATATTAAAATTTTAGTGATAAGCCGAACGGTTGCACCGAAACTTCATGACCGTTTTTTCTTTATATAAATCTAGATCCACCTTTACTTTTTTTTTTCTTAACACATCCTTGACAATTTGGCCTTCCTCTGCCTTTTTCCCGGTTAGCTCTAACTTGTTACATATTTGAAAATAAATTAATAACTGTTGAATGTGGTTCGAATTAGACCCCATTTAGTTTGGAACCGACTTGAATTGGATTCAAGAACACCTAGAGCAAGCGAAATATTTCGGAGCGCATGAAAAGAGACATTTCCGTCGTCCTAAATCATGTGGCGACACCCGGAATGAAACACCAAAGTTTGGAGGGTATTGTGGGTTGGAAATGCCGTGTTTGGAATATCGTATTCAAGATCGGATGTCCAGCCAATATTGGCCAGGCGTCGGACTTGGAAAACGAAGATTTCCAAGAAGACTTTGGACGTCAGACGTTTGAATGTTCACAACACCGAATATAAAGGATGGGATTCGAACATTTTCGCTCGTTAGGTCAAGTCTAACTTAGAGAGAGCTTTTACAGAAAATCAAGAGAAACCCGTCGTGGGAGATTTTCATATTTAATTATTGTGGAGCTTATTCCAGTGTAACGGGGTAGGGAAACACTCGTAGTGAGTGTGATTGAGCAATTATAATCTCATCTTTATCGATTATAGCGCAACTATCCTTTACACTATCTCTCCACGGAGTAAACATGCCGACAAACCATGTAAATCTTTTTTTGTTAGGTTTTCTTTGTACATTTATCTATTGCTCAAATTGCTTTTGTTTTGTTTGCACTTTTAATTTTGCAACTTCTTTAAAATGTTGGCAAATTAAGAAAAACAAATAAATTATCGGTAAGTAACTCAATAAATAAGTTGGTAAAAAATCGAATGTTGGTAAGTAACTCAAATGAAAGTTTGGTACCCTAGATCAGTTAGTAAATAATTTGACAAAAGTTGGTAAACTATTATAATTTAGGTTTGCAATCTCATGTAAAAGTTAGAAAATTCGAAGCATTGGTACGTTATGCAAATATAAGTGGATAAAGTAGTACAAAAATTGTTAATTTGCAAATTATCATAAAAAATTGGTAATTTTGTAAACGTGTTGGCAAGTCACCTACACGTTACTTGTAAAAGAAGTAACATAGGTAATTTTCTTTACAAATAGTTTTTTTGACACTTCCGAGCTTATTGAAATTTAACAGCTCAGAAAAAAATATATTTTTAGACACGGAACAGTAAAGTTCTACCATACAATGTGGTTGACCATGGCCAGCGGATCAAGTGATGGCCCTACCACACAATAAAAGCTCCGAAAATCTTAAGAATTGCACCTTTTTTTCTTTTTTTTCCGGATTTATCTCAAACTTATTATTGCCAGATGAGAGTACATACAACAAGGAAATGGAGAATCAAGTTTACAAAAGATGTTTATTTATTTATGCTTTCTTCATGAATTATCGAAATATTACAAGTACATTATACACTAGACTTGCAAACTTAACAACACCATACCGACATGCATCGTTTATTTATGAGTTTTATCATGCAGATCAAGCTGAAAGTACATACTAGTAAGGATAGTCTCCCCCATACATCCAAGGAAAAAATAGGAGTTCAAAGGCATAATCGATAGCCTATTGATTTTCAATAACCGAATTGGTGTGCCGACATTTGGTCCATACTTCACAATGGCAAGGGGCACACGAAGAGCGATGTCACATAACCTTTGAGCTTGGTTCCCGAATGGGTGTAGTTATCTCCATCACTGTATAACACATCCATCGCCCGCGAGAGATTGAGACTTCGTGTGAGAATCGGGGTTGGGACCGCGGTTGGACGAAGAAACTCTTCATTGGTGTCCTTCCAGGCATCAATAACTCGTTTCTGAAGTTCCTTCTCAGCTTCTTGCTCCGAGATACCGTGTTCTTTCATGAGCAACTCCACTGCAGATACTAGGTGCCCCCTCTTTTGCTCAAACTGCATGTCAAACAACATTGGTGTTATTAGATTAGGTGGTGGTTGATCTAATTTTAAGAGATTATTTTTTGTTTTTATTATACGTGGTGAGACGCAATGTCATCCATGAGCCTACAGATGGTTTCTGCGGCCTTCACAATCTTACAGCCACCAAGCGACCATTCAAAGGCATGTTTTGTGACCACATCGCCCATTCCCAAAAGTGATGTAGTCGCCAACATTCCATAGCCAGTCGTTATTAGTTGAAGGGGCATGTACTCCTCCAATGTTGGAGTGTAGTTGGTATGGAACCATTTGGCTTCTTGAAAGAATGCTCGTGCTTGCTTCTTCATCTAAGAAATTACACATAAACAAGAATGTTGGATTTCGAAGTAAAGAGTGCGTTTGATGCATGTAAAGTGTACCAATGATGCTCACGGCTTCTTTTGCATAGACGAGGCGGTACGATCTTCCTTTTTTGGCCAATCTATTCCCAATTTCTTCATAGAGATGGAGAAGCTCCTTGTAATAAGCTTGCATATACTCTGGTAGTCCATCCATGGCATCAACATCCCACCTAAATTCGAGGCCTAAAAAATGACACACTTGACTCTATACAAAATTGATTAAATTCAGAAGTTTGAGAAAGAGAATATGGATTAAGTACTTCTGGATTGCTTCAGTGATGAGTACAAGTTCTTCTAATGTGCCATAGACGTCGTAGATATCGTCAAGAATGGAAGTCAAGGCGATCACTTTGGTTAGTATATCTCTGGCCACGGCGAACTCCGGCTCAAAATAAATGCCAGAGATCCAGAAGAACAACTCCACAATCCTGTCTCTAGCAAATGGGAACTTCCTTGGAACATCTATATCCTTCCACCACCTATGATTAAACAAACATGAGCGGTATTGGAAATACTTTAGCCCAATGACTTCGCATAGTTTAAACTCCTTTTTCACTTGTAAAGGACTTTAAAAAAGCACTATTTAGAAGGGTAAATTGAAACTAGACTAGTAAACCTTTGAAACAACAAGAAAAATCGATAGTTTGGGCATGGTTAAAACACAATCTAGAAGCTAAATTTAGATTATGCTATCACATGAAGTTATTGAACCTTGTAACGTTGCCGAGTTCCTTCTGGTGTTGCTCTTGCAGTAAGTTGAAATCTAGGTTAGCCAAAGCGAGCAAGACTTCATCATGTGAAGGCTCTTCTTGGTAGAGTGGAATATAACACCTCGCCTCGAGCCTCGGCAACCCCTTGCGAAGTGGCTGCTCTAGGGCATGAGTCACTTGTTTCACAAGACTAGTGCTCACTTTGCTTTCATTGACTGATTCAAGGTGAGTTATAGCAAAAGGAAGTGCTTCTTCCAAGATAGAATCACCATGACATCTTAAATGGCAAGCTTCATATAGGCTAAGCAATCCGCGCACATCGCTTACGAGCGATTCCTTGAAGTTCCCTTCACTATCCTTAAATTTGTTAAAGACCTCTGCGCGACCAACCAACATGGGAAAAAGATGTAATCGACAAGAAATTAATAAGGTAATACGCCTGGTTAATTGTTCAGATTTTCTTTAACTTGTTTCTCCTAAAATTCGATAGGGCAATTGAAGGACTTTTATGGGTATCTTACCGGATTGGTTCACTACATTGAAGACTTACCCGATGAAATATTGTAACCTTGTTGTCGCAACAATCGAAAAATAAGAGCAACCATGTGAAGGTCGTCTCCCCTAAAATCTCCATGATCAAGTCGGAAGTAACTTTTGCGAATTTGTTCTAATTGCTCATCAATGTCACGTTCAAAATGGTAGTCAATTCCCAAGCGCTGGATCTGATCAATCAAGTGAAGCATCTGTGAAGGCTTACCCACGACATTAGTCAGCATTTTTCTCACCTTTCCTTTCAGCTCCTCAGTTTTTTCCTCCACTCTTCCAAGGAATTTGAACTCCTGCAAATATATCATCCGCTATTTCTAATAAAAGCAAGCATGAGATACGCATTTTGAACAAAATAAACTTGATTTTGATGACCCCGTGTGTGTATCCTATCTAGGTATTTCAATTGTATTCACATGACATGCAAGATTTAGACCCATGAGATACGTATCTTGTGTCAATTTAGTCATAAACTTTTTAATTTAGCTAATTTAGTTCTAAACCTTTTGACAATTTGCCAATATAGTCCATTCGACTAATTTTGATCGGAATATGACTTGAACGCCAGCCATCTTACGTGGCACAGTCGACGCTGATGTGGAAAGTTATTTTAATTTTTCAATTTCTTTATTTCATTTTCTTTCTTGTCTTCTTTTCCTTTATCTTTTCTTTTCTTTTCATTGTTAAGGTTCGGTAGGGGGCCGTCGGCCACCGGCCAAGGCTTAGCGACCCCCGTTGGCAGCTAATGAGGGTCACGGCCCCCGCTAGCCACTAGGCAAGGGCTTGCTGCCCTCGCACGGGATAGGCGAAGGCTGCAAGTCCTTACTAGTCATGATGAGAGTTTAGCCCTCACCCAGATGTGCGTGAGGGCCATGCTGCTAGCGAGGGAGCCCTTACCTAGTGGCTGACAGCCTCCTGGCCGCCCCTAATAATAAAAACAGAAAAGAAAGATATTAATAAAAAAACTCAATAAATTCTTTTTAAAAAAATTCACGTTAGTATCGACCGTGCCACGTAGGACAGCCGGTGTCTATGTCATCAATATAACATCAAAATTTGCCGGATGGACTACATTGGCAAATTATCAAAAGGATTATGACTAAATTGATCAAATTGAAAAGTTTAGGACATAATTGGCACAAATACAATAGGTTTAAGAGCTTTTTGGTAATTCCTCCCATGGGAACCACGACCATATGACAGGAGGGAGTTAAATGCCATATTGTGACGTTTCTTGGAACGGAGGACATTTTGTGGTCGGTGAAGCTTTAAGAGTGCTTCGGACTAAAATTACAAATGTTATGTTCGAACGAGAGTCATCATAAACCCGTAAGCGACTACACAAAGATACACAACGTGATCAATTTCTTGTTGCTTTATCAAACACTTGGCATTGATGTGGTGGCATGTGGACGGGACACAAGTCCTGCAATAAATTCTTGTAGAAGAAAATGGAAACAACACTTATGCGCGCGTGCAGAGAAAGAGAGAGTAGATGTTCTCCGACGAGGTGCCACAGGAGCATGAGTAGGTTTATGATGGCCGGACAGCTTCCAGGCCTTACTGTCTGACGGCGGAGAAAATCGAAGGAGAAAAACCACTAACCACTGAGGTGGAGGGAGAAGCATATCGAACGAAGTAATCACCCCATATGCTCGGATGATAACCCGCCGACCGACGTTCGATCGCGTGGCCTGTTCCTTCATAGGGATGAGAAGATGGGATTGCTGAAATCTGAAGAGACATTTCTTTTTAGCTAATTTCTAGATTTAGGTGTCTGAACAAATATAGATGAAGAACACTAGAGGGTAGAGACTTTTCCGTGAGTGTCCAAACGTTATGGATGGGTATTTATAGGCCATAGAGTCCCATGTTGGAAAGGTCGAGCGGGTATAGAATAGAAAACGCAATGGTTTGTTTCATCAAAATGCGTTCTTTCCGGTGTAGTTTCTATTTGGTGATGAGTCTCGAAATATCATTTAATTTTGTCAAGTCAGCTACCGGTCTTGGTTTATTATAGTAATTCAGATCCGGAGTCTTAAACCTCGTTGGGTATTGTCAATCCAATTCGTACTTAATTGTAGATCAGTAAGCATATAATAATGTACTCGAGTTTAGGGTATCTACATATAGATTGATGCCACACAGCTGACAAAACAAGAAGACAAGCACTGCCGTTTCGTCTCTTTCTCAAAGGACAAAAACATATTATGTAGATGAAGAACACCAGCGGGTGGAGACTTTTCAGTGAGTGTCCAAACGTTATGGATGGGTATTTATGTTAGCGATACTTTAATCGATAATGTGAAAATTCAAGATCAAAGCATCTTCAATCTTCATGATTTATTCACGACAAGAGGGATGAAGAAACATATTTTTATCCATAGCAATACTTTGGTAAAGGGATTGTTGCAGAAATGAGAGTAACGAAGAAATCCGATTTCTCTCCCTTAACCCACTTTTTCTTAACGTATATTATCTGATGGAGGATATAATACAACTTTCGTTGTCTATGTAGGTGGAGAGAGGACTAGACTCCTTTTATAAGCTATCGATAGGTGCCTTAAATAAGTGTCTTCCATCAAAGTACATAGAATATTCTACCTTTATAAAAGTTGCAACTTCTCATATTTTATATTTATAAAAGTCGCAATTTCTCATATGCTATCTTTGTAAAAATTGCAACTTTTCATAGCTAAAATTTTTTCTAGCTTTTAAATAATTATTAAACCATTAATAATATCATGTGGGCTACAATTATTCTTACATTCTCCCACTTGTTCCGTTTGACCTTTCTTTCATAGTTTAATAAATGCCATAATGTGCACAATAACATTGTGCTAAAACCTTTCTTAAAATAGCTATCACATAATAATCACAATTGAGTAAAGAAAACAAATGCAAGTCATAACGGTTGGATGTCATTAATCGACACAGTCCCTTTCATGTACTACAATTATAGTTCTCTACTTAACATTATCCATAAATGAGAAATATCGTAACAGTCCAACTATAATGTCTTTGTTAGAGACTCTCCTGTTAAACATTCATCTATTTCCATCATGTATACTAAATAGAAAACAAGAAATATCACAAGTTTTATGGAAAGACTTTTCATTATCGCTACTTTCATTGATAATAGCAACCGGTTATTCAACTTGAAGTGCTAAATCAAGATTTAGAACACCTAAGTGAAATTGGACTTGTTCACTCTAATTAGAGAAATTCATTCCATTTAATAAAGGAATATATGAAGCATGCGAATGAAGAGAGACGGGTACAGATACTTTAAATGTGCAAGACAACAGTTATACATTAATGCTTTGAGAATATCACATAATCTTATTCAAATTAAACAATACATGTACATCATAGGTCTCCTTTGAGTGATCCTACAATATACATTAAATCATAACGATGCTACTAACTTTTATTTGGTAATTATAAATACACCTCATTAAAATTTATTTGTTATCTTTGGATATACAAACAAATCTAACAAGATGTATGAATTACCAACTACGACGTTCATAAATTATAAGAAATTGATTAATCTTTGGGTGAATCCCTGAGTTTTTATAATAAATTAACTCCAATATACCCATGACACCATATGTAATATATCAATTTCAGTCACAGCATCAATTAATCATGGGTAATCAAATGAAATATTATATAATTTAAAAAATTCAAGAGACCATAAGGTTCGGCCACTTTGGTGATTAACAAACCATTCATAATTAAAATTTTAAATTGTAATACACAATAATTGTTTCACCATTTGATTATCTCTAAATGTTAAGCTTTAATCACTTTGGTGATAAAATCATCATAAAGGTATGAGAATCAAATTATACATTACGATGCCTTAAGAATATACATGTCAATTCATATATGAATATATGAATACATATAGCAAAACAATTAACGTGCTATATAACATGAAAAATATATACACAAAGAGCACTAAATCCAAACAATAATTTACATGCGATTCATTAAGCAAGTACTTGTATTAATCAATTCGATGTATATATCTTTAATGATTCTTAATGGGAGAACATTGACAAAACCATATATATTTTAATAATCGAAAAAATCACGAGATCTTAAACCATGCCTTGACACTAACTGCTAGCGCTAATGTAACCAATAATGAGGAAATTCAACATCAAAGAATAATACCACAAAAAATCCAAAATTGGTATATTTATGACAAATTTACCCAAAATTAATTTTTTAATCATCAAAAATCCCAAACTGATACACCCGTGACAATTTTACCCTCTGCTAGTTTTCGTTAAATTTTACCGTCAAATTTTTGAATTAGATGACACATAGCAGTTGATGGGTGTACCAGTTTAGAATTTTACCCTCCGTTTGTCACATGTGTACCAGTTTGATGTATTTCGTGGTATTAATCCAATTTAATGTAGGGTAAATTTGTCACAAATATACCAGTTTGGGAGTTATAGTGGTCAAAAAATTAGTTTAGCATAAATTTGTCACAGGTGTACCAGTTTGGGGTTTTTGGTGATCAAAAAATTAGTTTTAGGGTAAATTTGTCACCGGTATACTAGTTTAGGATTTTTTGTCACAAGTGTACCAAAAATAATTAATAAACCATTATAATATATCATGAGGCTACAATTATTCTTACAACTATGTCGGAAAGGTCAAGCAGGTATGGAACAGAAAACTGAATAGTTTATTTTATCAAAACATGTTCTTCCCCATGTAGTTTCTATTTTCGTGATGAGTCTCCAAATATCATTTGATTTTACCATGTCAGCTACCAGTCTTAGTTTATTACAGTAATTCAGATCCGGAGTCTTCACCAGCTCATTGGCTATAGTCAATTTGTACATTATTGCAGATCAGTAAGCATAAAATAATGCACGCGAGTTTATGACGCCTTTAGATTGATGTCACACAGCTGATAAAACAAGAAGATAAGCACTGCCATTCCGTCTCTTACTCAAAAAGATCAATCATATTTTATATATATAAAGAACAGTAGATTGTAGAGACTTTTCTTTCAGTGTCCGAAACCTTATCGATAAAAGTTTATTTTATCAAAACACGTTCTTCCTCGTGTAGTTTCTATTTCGGGATGAGTCTCTAAATATCATGTAATTTCAAAGTCTGAATGATATACCTTGTTATTCATGTATAGTACAGAGAAGTTGAATAGCTCATGAATGCGGCCATGGAAATAGGACAGCTCTCTAAGAATTTGACCTGACTGTGGTGCGGACTGTCAGAGCTGATGCATGTTCGTGATTGCTTCTCCACTATTCATTCTGCAAGAAGAGGCTCTGCTCTGTTTTCTCAATTGGGTCTAACGTGCAGAGAGCAAAAATTTAACCTTCGATTGTGTCCGAGGTCGATTCAATGGCCCCATTCCTCTGCGAAAAGGTGTTTTTATCATGCTTTGTTGTTCCTGACTTGGAATAATTCGCGAGGACGATGGTGCATGTGGAAGTTATTTCGGAACTTGTAGTCGTAAAACATTTCATACATTTGTTGGGTGCATGGATTCATGGCATTTCCGCTGCAACGCAGTACACTTTTGAGGGGGGAAGAGTCCATTTTAGAAAAAAAGTCTGATACTCTACTCGTTATATGTACATGAACTGAGTAATAAATTTAGAGGGGAAGTTGACTTTGCAATAAAGAAGACCACCCGGAAGCTTATCCAGGAGATGTTTTTTTTTGTATTTGCATTCACGCCTTTTGGAAAGAGCCGACCCGAGCTAATTCATCAGATTTCGATATTATCGACCATTATGGCATTGGGTGTATTGGGATTTAGAAATATTTTACGATGAGCGTGCAAGAAAACGGTGCCAATTGGAAGGGCCGTCACTCAACAAATAAAAGTTACTCTAGAGACGGATTTTCCTCTTACTATAAAATTTCACTATTGTCGATTTTATTCTTCGTGTCTAGGACGTAGTCCTAGATCATTAGATAGAAAGTTCACGACCCATGAGCCTTCTACCTCCACGCGGCATTGCTTCGTCAGGCTTTCACCCATTGCGAAAATTCTCAAGCCTATAGTGAGTTATAGACAGAGTTTGAAAATGTCAAATCTTGAATGAAAAAAATTTGCCAGTATCAATTATCAGTACTAGTGATGACTTTCACCACGTTAAGGTGACACTCTATTGTTGAGTTATATTCATTCCTTACTCCCATCAAGAAATCGAACTGACTAAACCTATGACAAAGGGGGTTGTGATGGCTGGATCCACCCACAATAATCTTGCATCTTCAAGAAAAGGGCTTATAAAACGAAACCATGAAACACAAATAAAGAATGGGCAGTGAGAGGGGACTGTTATGGACTTTTAATGCCTTTTTCTTTGTTACAACTACAAACCGGCTCCTGCAATGTTGGTTCTAGGCTTCTAATCTGGAACTTATCCATTGTGAAGCTGCTCACCCTTTTAAGTTGGTGATTAGAAAACAAACAAAAGAATCAATCGGTGTTATGTTTTATACTTCCGTATCACGAAACTTCTCAATTCACCCACCCCATTCCACACGCATCGTGTCCCATCATCTCTTCCATCATCCGATTGTGATGTTACTTTTCTAAAGATTATACTTCATGCTGTTCCTAGTTGTGACCTTTGAATCCTTCCATTATCCGACTGACGCCTCCCAAATTAACTCTGTCCTTTCAAAAGATTGAAAGGTTAATATAACGAAAAATTTCAAATCGATTTACTTGTGATAAT